TGGGACCCACGTCTCTGGCCCTTCTTGGCAGACGGTCGATCGTCACTCCCAGTGTTACGAGACACTGGGCGTGGGGCACTACACTCATAAGCGTAGTAGCCCAACTTCTGACAGCGATTGCACTTTTGCAATCGCTTGTATCCTGGAGAGCGAGGTCGCTCGCTCTCTACATAGGAGAGGTCCATTGGTTCTGGACCTCCGCCCTCCTGTCGTCTCGGTGGACGATAGGATCCCGAGTGGACGTGAGCCTGTTGTAGGCTAAAGTCCTCCTGTTCCGCTGCAGAGATCGCTTGATCCAGCGATTCTAGCTCCAAGCGGAACAGGTGGGTCTTGACAGGACCATCTGTCAGACCCTTGATGAACACAGTAACCTGCGTGTGTTCATCGATTGGGTTCAGTACGATACAACTAACGAGGTATCGCACGTGTTGGGCGTAAGCGTGAATATCAAGCTTACCCTGTTTCAAATCCAGGAGCTCAGCCCGAGCCCTGAATTCGGCGCGAGGCGGTTCAAACGTGTGTTTGAGCCGCGCCTTGAAGACGTCATACGTTGGAAAAACGTATGGGTCGTGCAGTTTGAGCCCTAAGGCCCAAGCTTTGGCACGTCCTGCCAAGTTCGACATGGCGAACTTGACTTTCATCGCATCGTCATCGATGCGACGAGCCTCAATGGCATCGTCGAGCTCGACGAACCATCTCAACAAGGAGTCGCTTTCGACTGCCTTGTACTTGGAGACATCAATCTTCAAGGACTCGGGCCGACGTGTATACGCCGACCCGGCAGCAACAGCACTAGCCTGCTGTTGTCTCAACAGTTCAGACTGTTGAGCACCCTGCTGCATCAACAAGTCAGCTTGTTGAGTGCCTTGTTCTCTCAACAGTTCAACCTGTTGAGAACCTTGCTCCTCTAGCAAGGTGAGTTTCTTTACGACTTCGTCAAGTTCATGTTGTATGAACTTGGCGATGGTTGCATGTTGGTCGTCTCCGCTAAGAGAGAGCAACATGGCACCAACGGCAGGGTTGCCGATGGTTTCAGCCATACGCTGAACCGCATTCCATTCGAGGTCACTCAAATGGCGGAAATCATCACGCGTTGCGTGATGACGTTCATCACCTGCTGATTCCATAGCGGATGGTGCGATGGTCGCTGAACGGACCACAAAGTGCTACCAGGTGTAATGGGGCACCCTCCGACTATACTGATTACAGTATAGTCTACTTTCACTGATTACAGTGAAAGCAGGTGCCTCAATTACCTCTCTTACACAAGAGGCAGAGGAAGCTTTACTTCTAAACAAACGCTTAGAAGCAGAGGAAAAGGAAAACTGTATTTAATATAGTTAACTATCTTAATAAAACTAATCTGTTATAACCTATGTTAACTATATTAAACTACAACTATGTATGTTGACGACTTGCCCTCCACTCATTGCGCGCGTCCATCGGTCATTTGTCAGCGCGTTGGCTGATATGATGGCCCATATCAACCAACGAGAGGGCATCTCCAACTTCAAGGAGATCTAGGAACAATATTATTAGAAAAGGTAATATTGTCAAAAAAATATTAGTTATAATAATATTTTTATTGACACTTCATATAAGTGTCAATATTATGTAACGGGCTCACCCCGTTGTGCGCATTGCAGTTTCGATAAGCTCAAGAATTGTTTGAGTCTAAATTTAATCGAGAGCAAAGTTTCTTAATCGACAATAGGTTAAACATGACATTTATGTATGCGCTGAAGGGCTTGCTTACTTTTAAAAATCGTACCGAGGCGATTCACGAGGCAACTAAGGTCGTCATGTTCATACAAAAATTACGAATGAGACGGTTAGGACCAAAAACGGACTTTTGCGTTGCTTCAATAAAAAGTCTATCTTGGTCATTTAGGGTTTATGTGCTGACGTAAAAGTATATGGAGATGGCTTCTTAAAAAAGTACCAAGGGTTGATCAGCAACTAGTCCTAAAAAGTAACAATTTGTCCTGAAGCGTCGAGTCGGCTAACGCCATGAAATACATAATTTGGAAGCAAAGAAGTAGCTGATCCAGCTGGTGTGAGGATTACACCGATATTCAACTGTGTGACCTATAAGGCTCAAATGTTCACCCAAACACCAAATAGCTGCTCAATTGTAAGCGAGAGGCCCAGTCCAGGCTCCAAAAAGGAAAATGGAAGTCGTGCCTATAGAACACAAAGCGTGAGAGGGGTCTATTACCCGTAACATCATACTTTTCGGCTCTGTTACAAAAACCTTTGAAGTCAGCCATTGTTGAAGGATTGCGATCGATGACTAGATGCCGTGATCCGTCTTGATGCTAAGCAACTTGAATTCATGACAAATTGTATGTCGTGCTGACGAATGATGGAAAGAAGTTCGAAGCTGGCCGGCCGAGACGGTGATATATAATAAGTATTAAACGCTTGGTTTAGTATAACGTCTACGTTCTTCGAATCTCTTACGGGCTGAACAACAGACTACGCCAGGCATTGGAGAAAGATAAACCTATCGTTCTTCGTGGTAGTACAAGCTCAATCCTTGGTGGATCCTAACAAGAAACGTCGGTTATTCAAATTATGGGCCGCAACATCAGGTTTGAAAGACAAATCTTACTCGTCCGAACAACGGGATACTCACGACTACGGCGTCGGTGCGCAGCCAGCTGCGACACAGCTAGCCATGCATGTCCCCCACGCAACATTGCACGCAATGACTGCAGGCCCAAACACCGCACCGGCAGCAGCGTAGCACGCAACTACGATGGCGTTGCATCCCGTCTGGCAAATACCGTAGGCGAGGGGCCCAGCGGTTACTTTGTGTGTGCTAGCGAGTCCTAGCACTACGAGCACGATAGCGGAGTTTTTCAACATTTCTTCTTACGACGTGGCCGCTCACTGGACACCTGAGGACTTGAAAGACAATTGCGAACTGAGAATTTATGAACGTATCGATTACCCTCTCTTTGTCTTACTCTTGTGTCTTTTATTGGACACTGGCGTCTTTTGCGGATCAAGCGACGTTTTAGCATGTTAGGGCACCTTGAGTCATCTGCAGTCAGACGTCAACAGCAGTTGTTTTGCAAGAATGTACAGTCAAAAGAGACGAGAAGAAACGCATCGTCTTGACAGGCGTTACACGTAACAGGATCACAGAAAAGTCTGATATTCAATTAATTAGGAAGCGTTTAAATGGAAAGAATGCCAAGCAAAAGGTAAGAACCATGTCGACGTTTGTGGCTGTAGCCTCTGTACAAGACGGAGATGCGCACCCTGCGTGACGAAAGCACCCACGTGGACGAGTTCGTGCTGCACGCTGCGCTGGACTTGGTCGACGAGCTCAGGTAGACGACATCCGCCATAGCATTCAAGGTGGTGAGTGGATCGATTCAATGACCAGCTCGTGTCGGTTTTGTCACCCGTTGTTGAACAGATAAGACGCTCTTCCGTTCAACTACTAGGATACACGTTCGGTGACGTGGATCCCAATTGCTCTTCGACATAACCCAATTGCTCTTCGACAATACTTTGTTTCCTGCGACCATTATCTCAAGTGCCCGCCCTAACTGCTTCGGTGTGACTCCGGCCAAGATCAACTTATCTCCAGCTTCTCATGTCTACCCTTGTCCCGATAGAATACTAATTGCTTACTTGGCGAACGCAATGTCGTGTTCAGATCGTGCAAGTATTGACGAAAGGAAGCCCTGGTACATTCATACAGGATTTGGGTAGAGTATTTATCATATGAAGCGAATTTTTTGAACAGTTTGAACCAAAAAGTCAATTTATATTGAATCCTATAGATATAAACGCTTCTTGGAGATGAAGATGTTGTATACCTTGTATATGTGTGCCGTTATTGTCAAAGAACGGTGCTTCTGTCGATGGCTCTCTTTATCACTTCATATCACACGACCTAGCGCAAGGTGATCGTGCCGTCCCTAGGCCTAGCAGCGACCCCCCCCCACTGTCTTGCGCACGTGCAAATAGTACACGACGTTCCGTGACCGTCTAGCTCCACAGATTCAATTGTAGCAGAGATGTCATTAGTATCTCGGCACATGTTTGGGGTTTCTGGGGTTTCTTAGTAGCTGCAGCAGCTCACACTCTCCATTTTGCAAGGTCTGCTTGCGGACGTCCTCGAAAGTTTGCTGATTTTCCAAGCTCTTTTTTCATGCGCGTTTCTTCCACGTTTGCTCCTCTTCAAATTCTAACCTTCCTCGAAAGTAGCTGTCAAGCGCGCAATGTCCTTTTCAAAAACGCAGTATTCTCGGCAAAGTTGTTCTTTGATGTCAGGTCGGGACGGAGCCACAAATTCTTCATACTCGAGCTAACATTGCTTCTGGTGTCTCATCATTTTATTTGTTGCTTGGTTCGTCAGTCATATGCTCTCACCATACGCATCGAGTCATAGCCGTAATCGGTAAGCATAAGCATTTTTTTTATCTCGATAAAGTGCAGACAATCTCTTGTATATATATTGGACTTCATGATGATATGTTGTATGCTAAGATTTACTACATTGAGATTGAAAGCACCTTGGACGTCATAACATGGTGAAGCTGAAAGAGAATTACTCCGATGTGATGCTGGACAAGCATCCCGCACATCGGAGCAATTCTTTTACTTCCTAAATTTCGCCAGTAAAGCTCGCGAGCAGGACTTTTGATAGCGCTTTTCTATCTCCTGATCACATGATTGCTAGATATGATCTCTTGCATGACAATAGTAGACGTTATAGCCGCCAAAAGAAGAGTAATACGGTTACGAAGGTGCACGTTTGAGCGCAAAGTTTAATCAAAGCCTAATATTTATGCTTACGTATAACATTGGCCATTACGAAATGCACCCCATTTCATCTTGATTTTTGTATATGTTGCCCATCCTCCCACCACGTCACAAGCAGCTACGTTTGACATTTGATCGCTTGGTGGATAGGCTCAAACTCTGAAGTTTTAGCGCTTTGAGGATCAGTTGCTCATTTTCCTGCTTAGAAAATTCTAATGGCAGACATCTCAAGTGACAAGAATCAATCCCCAGGCCCTGCAAAGCTGGTCAAACAGCTCATGGTGGACACTGCTGCTGCCATGGCTGCGTCACTCGGTGTTGCGCCCTTCATCACCATCGTGGATCGCGCTATTATCGAGAACGCCAGTGGCGCTCGCCCGCTTGGTCGTGGCATTAAGGAGCTCTCCATCAGCTTCCTCAAAAACCCATTACGCTTCGTAGGCAAACGTGAGTTTCACATTGTCTTTGGTCTCTATACAGCCACGTACATGGCTGCAAATGCGGTCGACTCTGTCTGCGAGTACATTGAAACGGACAATCAAATGCCCAAGTTTATTGGCACGACGGCCGTCAACATGTCGCTCTGCATTGCCAAAGATCGTGCCTTTGCACGCATGTTCGGTGTTATTGCACCTGCGGCTTTTCCACTGGCGTCCATTGGTCTCTTTGCTGTACGTGACTCGATGACTTGTGCGGCGTCATTCAATGCACCTAAAGTGCTGGCCAAGAAAATTGAGGACAACAAGCTTATGGACAAGTCCAATGCCGGAACTTTTGCACAGCTCATCTGCCCTGCAGCCGTGCAGTTCATTTCCACGCCATTGCATTTGCTGGGACTTGACCTGTACAACAACAAGGGCCACACCATGACCCAGCACGCGAGCTTAGTCCGACGTGAATACGTCAAGTCCGTCCTTGCTCGTGTCGGTCGAATTGGACCTGCCTTTGGTGTCGGTGGTGTGGGCAACGCTTACTTCCGCAACATACTTCGTGCGAAGCTGGACTAGAGCTGGACAAAGGGGATCGGACAACAGCACCATGGCTTGCTCAATGGCGACAAGATATAGAAAGAATATACATTGGATAGCCAGACCATGGCACGCTGCTAGTTCATTAGCTATTACCAACTGCAATTTGCAGCTACTCTGCTCGCTTGCAACACGCTTGCGGTGCTTGACTTCAGAGAGGCAGTACTTCTTTATCATCGACTACCGGTGGCCTTCGCTATATGTAGTGCTACGTTGACCCTTACTGTCCTGCTCGCACTAAACTTCATGCAAATGCACTTATCACCATTCCTAGCGCATCCTCGCTTTTGCAGCAATTCTTTTTAGTCATCCGCTGCGTCGTCATCATCATTGTCGTCTTCTTCACCTTCATCCGAAGTATTCTCCTCTTTGAGCGCAAGAGCTTTTACCGCTTTAATTTCTCGCTCCAGCTCAGCAAAACTCTTCAGCACCTTTTGTATGCTTCGGTCTGCCTTCTCTGTGTTAATTCGAGCTGCTGATGCGCGTGCCTTTTGCAGCTCCTTCAGAAGAGGAGTGTCCGAGCCCTGATCCGTACAAATGGCAATTTACACAGCGGTCAGTATGGTTTTTTACCAACGCCAGCGATGCCCACTTTCCATACAAACCTCATGATCGATCAACACTTCCATTTGTTTATCATACGCCAGAAGAAGCAGCTTTTGCAGGTCTTCAGAAGACATAGCAAAGAAGTGCAAGAACGACGGCTTTCCCGCTGATAGCCGCGTATCTATAATCGAACCCAAGTCGTCACCCTACACAACAAAATATGAAAATGAAAACAGTAAAAACTTGACGCCTTTTAAAGTCCACTCCCTCCTTTCTACCACAGACTCTTACCTTAACGCGAATATAGGCACCAGGAAACCCATCAAGTTCCTGGACGCCATGCACTTTCTACATTCATTCCAAACAACATCACTAAAGATAAATAAACTCACCTTAACAACACCCTTCATAGTGTTTGTGTGTCACCTACTGACGTTAATGTCTTCGTAGGTGGCCATTCCATCGCATACCACCATCGACACAGCAATTCCTGAGCCAATTGACCCTTGAGTGTTTGATACAATTGTTCCGTACACTCTTGTTGTCGAATCTTTATCTGTACAACTCCCATTAATGCAACAATTATTAACATCCAGTCACTCCCGATACCCCCTCCCTCACTATGTCTCTCCTTATCTCACCTTTATTATTCTCTTCTTCACCTTACGTGGTGTGCTCTTTAATGTCGACCGAGGGTTATTCATCGTCACCTCTTCCCTCTTGACATTTGTCTCAATCTTCAACTTTTTATTCCGGTTCGCCAGGCCACTGATAGGAATCTCATCGTCACTTTCGCTCTCACTTCTCGTCTCTCGTTTGTTCTTTTTCACATTGTGGCTCGACATTTCCGTCTTTATTTCTTCTTTTAGTACTGGAGCTTTCGCACTACGTAAGGAGGACAATGGAACATCATCCTCACTGTCACTATCGCTATAAAAAAACAAAAGAGAAAAAAACATGACACAAAATGAGATCTTCCACCTTTTTCTCACTAGAACATCATCCATAGACACTATTACAATGTCAAAACACCACGACATTGTAGCATTTTCTTTTCTCTATCTATCTGACTATTCCATAGTAAATTTACCTGTCAAGAATGCGTGGAATTGACGAAGGGACACTCATGCTTTTAAGTGATGGTGTCAAGTGATGGCGTGGGATGTAGATGGTGGAGGCACTAAACCGAGGGAACGTATACTGACCCCGATTGACAACCAATAAAGCTACAGAGGAAGAAAGTGACGAGATGGATGAGGACCCCATAGTGCGTGAAATACCCGTACATCTTACTGACAAAGGATGTCATAATCTGTACGTTGATTGTAGCTATCTATTGATGTATGTATTACCATTGGAGACCCTCTAATGACTGCAACTGTCTCAGTTTTATGGTACAATTCCCATTACGTCCGACATATCGGCCAATGCCTGAGCCACCACGTCGTGCACGTATCAAACCAATCAATCAAATGATGCAGCTTGAGTTTGCCGTGGATCAACGATCGACACACTTTGATCAGGACGCAGAAGATTATCTCAAGCAAAAACATTTACGGATGCAATCAGCCAATGTCCCAGCATTAACGAATTACGTTATTGGTGTCTTTCGTCAAGGTCAATTGCATCTTACACCACTGTCTTCAGTAATGCAGATGCGTCCAAGTTTGTCGCATATTGATGATGCAGTAAATGAAGAAGAGGAAGACATGGAAGTAGAAGAAAAGATGGAGCCGCCTTCGACGGAGACGAAGGAAGTACAGTTTCAGTTTAAAAAGAAACAGTCAGAACGTGCAATTTCTGCTATTCAAAACTCGTATGCGTACAAGAAACAGCAGATTGATGCTGAGAACTGGATGGAGCTTCAAGTGTACAACAAGAATGTACGATTTGAGTTCTTATCATGGGAGTTAAAACAGTTGAAAACGAGTCTTAATTGTGGTGATTCGTTTTTGTTTTCTGTTTACAGAGTGCCGATGCTGATGATGAATTTGAAAACTTGTTTAGTGAAAAAGAAGACGAGGTGGTCTCGACGATGACGTCGGACGAATATATCAAGGCGATGCAATACCGTTCAATGGTCGCTGTTGATAAGCCCAGAGCTCCTAAGAATTTGGCACCGTACGTTTTACTTGTGTGTGATTTTTGTAGACTATTGTGGACCTAACGACTTTTTGCGATGAACAGGGAAGACGAGGAGCAGGAGGACGAAACAATGGAGCCTGTTACTGGAAAGCTACTTGGTGGTGTTGATGTAAAGTACGCGGATGTTCTGCGACTGCTTGCAACTGACCAAATCATGCATTTTGATACGCTTGCGAAGCTCCTTCCAGCACAAAGTGAGGAAGAGCTATTGGAAGCACTCAAGCATGTGGCTATGCATGTGCGTGGGCGACTGCTTCCAACTAGGTGGGCTATTTATTTTTCGGCCCATTTCTCAGTACGGGCTAATATAGCTTTTGTGTCTGCCATTTGCTACTGAATAGCGCCTTGGTGTGCCGCGGTGCGACGACAGTGCACGCCCGCAATGATTTTATCAAGGCAGTACGTTTGAAGCCTTTGCTCGTTGCTCTCTGAGATTAGAAATTTACGAATGATATCTCCTGTACTGTTGCAGCTGGCGAAGACACCTGCCGGTGTATCGCGCATGGAATTGGCAGAAAAATATTCTGTGGACGCTGATGTAGCCAAAATCATCTTGACCGGTGAGACTCACAAATTGCGAATCGCGGGCATGGTTACTATGCGTAATAAGACGTCTAACTACATGTTGTCTCACTGTTGCCTTAAATTGTAGAGTTTGCTATTTTGGAGCCCAAAACACGCAAGTGGAGCTTCCGCATCGATCACGATGACACTTTTACAAAGCGATTCCCTGCCGTCGCAAAGACAATCAAACTGTAGTCGGCATGGCGCAAGCTACTGTGGAAGTGAATAATAGATACAACTAGCATGCTGAGTATTTTTTGCAACTGCAAGCGCTACACAATGTATCTGAGCTTTAAATCGCCTCTTATGCATTTCTCTACTTAAGATCATGTAAAACGCAAAAAACAATTTCTATTATCAAGGTGTTAAAGCTCATGATCCGCTTATTCGTTTGTATAATTTCTCAAATGTTGACAACATTCCCAATTCAGACCTTAGACCTTTTGCAATTTCTTTCGTTTCATTGTCCTTCGGGGTCACTTTCAGCATTTGCTTTAGTGTTTTCTTCCCGAATTTTTCGACCAGAATTTTTGCCATCTCCGCATATTGTTCCGTCGGCTTACCATTCACTTCAGGTTGTTTTCTCACACTTTTGGCCCACAAGTTAAAAAAAGGGTTGTTTAGCACCGTGCCATCAATGTCTTTATTGAGGTAAAGGAAATCAAACAAATCAGAGGGGGTTAGTCCCAACTTGGGATACAAGTCTACAAACTCTTTGCGTATACGTGTCGCGAGATCTTTCGTAGCTTCAACCTCTGTAGACTTTTGCAGCATCTCCGAAAGGGCAGCATAATCTTCATCGTAACGAAAAACCAACTTTATCATCAATCGATGATCAAATAAATCTGGCCTTGAAGTTCCTTTACGTTCCAAAAGCTCGACATACGCTTTGAAACGTGTGGAGCTTAGCAAGTTGTTATCAGGAATTAGAAGCTCGCGCACATGGTTGATCGCATCGTCGTTTGGTGGCCCCGCTTTTTCGACCGTTAGTTGTATCCACTCATCTTGTAATCTGGTCGCAAGTTTATTTTGTTTGGCCGAATGCTCTGGGGTTGTTTTAAGCATCGCCAAAAAAGCATCGTCAGAGTAATGTTCCGCCAAAAATTTCGCGATGAATTTTTCTGGCTTGGTAATTTTCTCGTTTTTCCGGACTTGGTTAACAAAATTTATAAAAATCTTGTTGTTCAGTAGATCAACGACATCCTCTTCAGATTTCTTTGGAGGCAAGAACTTCTTATACTTCTCAAAAATGGAAGGCGACAGAAGTGCTTCAGCGGGTTTGGCCGATAGTCCGTCAGTGAGTTTTGTCAGTGTTCCTTCACTTACTTTTTCCGATATGGATTCAACGAATGCCTCTCCTATATTCGGCATCCTCTCCTCTTCGGCTGTTTCCGCCCCATCTCGCAGAATCCGCTGGGGGGCGTGCTGATGAGACAATACTGGTCGCTCCAATGTCGAACTCGATCTTGTTGACGACGTATCAGCATAGGCAGATAGGGTGGTAGCAGCTACTAGAAGCAAAGGATACGTTCGCATGATTGACCGTCTGCTTAAGGGGTTTGAGAGAAAATTGAGAATGACACTGCGTTGGTCGTTACTTTGATATTTCGTCTGATTGCATTGAAAGCTGTTTTCAAACTCCTGGCTATACGAGATTAATCAGACGGAGCTCCGATCTGCTGAGCATGTGAAGACCGGATGTAGCTGCGGAGCATTACGTACAGTGTCAGAGATTCCTCTTTTTTGATATTTAGATACTGCAGTCAAGGCTGACAAGCTTTGGGGCTAACTACCTCTTACCTAAGGTCTATAGGTCATACACCTACCTATAGAGCCCGTTGACATTTGCTACCTGCGGCCTAACTTATCCCAAACGCCGGGCTTGGTCGTCTTGTAAACTATCGGTGACAAACTAACAATTATATTCCATAAGTTCTTTCAGAGACCAATCTGTAGTCCGTGTAACCGCGAGCGTCCAGTGAGCAAGCGCTTGCCTTCTCGGAAAGGCGCACAATTTACAACCTCTGTTAGCCTGGTCTTTGTTTGTTTTGTCAGGTCACATCGGCACCATAAACTCGTAAGAAGCCAGCTCTTGCAAACAATATGGTCAATCTTACGATGTACTAAGTCATTTTTATGAGAACTTGTTTGCTTTTCCGGTACCATGTCCACTTACAACTACTACCTAGCACCTCGACTCCCTATATTCATGCTTTGCTGAGATGCCGCTTGTGTCGACATTACAACGTTCGATAAAACAGCAACACCACAGCAAAAAATCAGCAAACAAGTAAAGGTCGAGTAGGATGCACCGTTAAGGTTTTACATCCTCAGTCGATTCGCACAAGTAGTATCGAACAAGAATAAAGCCACTTCCTCTACTTACCGGGTCACAGCGACGAACTATACAACTTACAACACGCATCGTTTCACTGCCGCCGCGGTATGGTACCTGCCATGAAGGCACGCCAGCGACTTTATCTTCGTCTGGGCTGCAAGTGACAGTCTATTGTAGATGTTATTCCGTAAAGACACGTGTTTACAAGCAAATGATTGTGAACGTCTAACTTAAACCAGATGATATCAGCGTACACCTTAGGGTGGGTGTCAGCTGAGCGAGAAAAAGTGAAACAATGAAGACATTGTTCCCTTACGGCTGTAAGGGCAGAATGTCTTAGCCATCCACCTCTTTAAATTTGCATGACGCAAAATACGGGGCTCAAGAGATTTGCTTGGAATACTCAAGTGACCAAACGGTAGGTCTTTTTCAGCTTCGAAGTCTTTATATTTGGTTGTTTATACTGTTCAATGTAACCCTTTTTGACACAGCCACTCCACTCATCGGCGTCCACTTTCATTTTTCCCATGACACTATTTCACTGTCTTCGCTTCGTCGACGTCTCCGAGTAAAATCCAATAGCTCCGGAATAGCAACGTCTAATGCTGCAGCTTTCGGCAAATTGAACAAAAGCAAGTGACACATTTTGTGTTTGCAAAAGACCAAAAGCAGGCACTCGCGAGCCGCTTTCTACAGCGGCAGCTCATCCACCAACTCTTACATGAAATTACGAGAACGTCGAGATTAAACGTACTCCTGAGGTGCGGTCGATGATTAATCTTGCGTATCATTATTGGAAATAATAATTTGTGTCGTGACTTGTGTCGTTACTTGTTGCAGAATGAACGAAACTGGAGGCGACCAATTCGAAGTCTCGCTCCTTCATTGTGGAATCAAAACGTCTTCATCATAAGACCATCGTCGCAATTGTCAGTGATTCTCGTACTTTGGTTGGCGTAGATGTTGTCCGACTAACAGATCGACCTCTTCATAAGAAGTCAGCCGAGGAGTTTTTTTGAGCTTTTGTGGATCACTTCAATCCGAAGGAGTGGGATTATGTTCGCGATGTGGAGGACGACGATAGTCGATATACGCGATTCTACCGACTATGGTCGCGTAAGGAGGCATACATTGAGACGGTGGGCATTGATCTGGGCTTCTCATGTTACGAGTCGAATTTATTCGAGGGGATTCGGCCCGATGGAAGCTTCTTTTGGATGATCAGCGTGCTATGGATTGGCATTTCAAGTGTACACGGCTTGATTCGATGCATCTCGTGAGTGTTGCGTATGGGCTCCATGCAGCGATGTGGATGCCTGAGACTAGCTCCTTGTTTTCGGATGTTGACTCGTATTCTGTCTTGCTTACTACTGGTATCGAAAAATTCGAAAGAGGCACAGAATGGCAACAATGGAGACTGCAAGATCTGCTGGAATCATCATAACGCAATTGCAAGCGTGCCGTATATCAAAAGTCAAGAAAAATGGCAAAAATCTTGCTAGGTCTTAGTTCCGAATCGACTAGGTTACCATATGCTGTAGTGATAGGTGTCCCCGAGACAGTACCATCGTCGTTGATATGACGCCTCGTCCTTCTTAGATACCTAAATATGGAGTCGGGAACAAGATCGCGCCGGTGTGGACTTGTATTGAGCGGCGCTTGCACCCCTTTGGCTTCAGATCGTAGCAGATCTGGTCCAGGTGCGTGTCCAGCGTGTTGTCACACACGATCTTGCCCTGCTTGGCGTACAACACAATCTTTGCATTTCCACCGACCGAGCACAATAAAAACAATAATTATACGGTCAAAATTTGATTTGTAGAAATTTAATCGTAGAGTATCAGCTCACACACATGCGTTTACTTACTTCACGCTCCTTCTCTTGCGTGTATACTCTTCTTGAATCTTAACTTCAGTGTTAGGCACTAGCATCTGCTATTTTAGATGAAAATCATGCTTCGTCTAGCAAAAAATTATAGCCGCAATTGTATGATGAGTCCTCAATAAAAAACACTGTTTTTTGCTTATTTACTCCTTTTTTCCAGTCTTAAAATACGATAGAAACATATATTTTACCTTGGCTTTTGCTTGCGTTCCCTGAAAATAAAATCTAACATCTGCTTTATTTGACTCAGATGCATTCGAAGCTCATGGCTTGATATTATTCAATACACTCTGCTTTCTTGGTGGTCTTACTCGTACATAAACGAAAATACCGTACTTATCATTCAATATTCTTATATTTTTGTCCTTTAATTAAGATTATGATTCTAACATGTTAAAATTCCTTCCTTCACAACTGATACATTTAATGGTATCATTTCAGAAAGGCTAACTCAAGTGGTACCGGTATCTCTAGGTATCCTACCTAACGCGCTTCTTGCCATCATCTTGTTTGATAGGTCAGCCTCGGCTGGTCGTACGTACATCTTTGCTGTTCCATTTCAACACGCCACCATGTCCGCTACGAACCAAATATCGCGGACCACAATCCAGGTCTGCGTCGCTGGATTCTTTTCATCACGTGTTATAAAGTGCACAATACTTAGTTACTTTGTCTTACAATTACATAGTTGTATCGTGATTCCCTGCGTCTTGCCAAACACATTGGTGGCAACGTACGTACGTACTATTGCCGAGAGTGTCAAGACAATTAATGTTAATATGATGTATATTACTGTATGTAGAGCAAGAAGGGCCAAGCCATCAAGGAGCTTGTACGACGGGAGTTTGAGAAAGGTCGCAAAGAGACAGACCCCGAGAAGATTGAGGCGCTTAAAGCCAAGTATGTAGTTAAAGTCGCCATGCATTACCAGACGCCTTGATGCTAATCATCTTGTGGTGATTCTTACACTGCATAGCGCCATCCGTGGACTAAGTAACTACCTGATGCTGGCTAATTCCAGTAAGGACCAACGACTACACGATGCTTTGTACAAAAACTCTCCGCCCAAGGACGATGGTCCAATGCAGGCTGAGTTTCGAGACTTCTAAGTTTGAGCAACTTAAGGCGTACGGTTGAAAAGAAAACAAGACCCTTCTTTTTATCGCTAAAAGTTTGTGTGAAATACTGACATAAGTACCGGTATCATACCACTTAGTCTCCTCCTATCAAATTGACTATTGCAAAATTCCACTTTATCACAACGTGAACAATCATGAATCGTCGAGCATTGGCTCGTAAAGCTGCAGGCGTAAAGACTCTCTTTCCCATTAATTCTCATTCCGATGAAACGGGTATTGACAATGTATCGAATAAGCTCAACCAACAGCTAGAAGAAGGTGATTATTATGGTGCTCTACAAATGTACAAGACTTTATTCATGCGTTTTCTGAAAGGAGAGAAGCCAAATATCACCCAACAGGAAAAAGCAATAAATTTGGCCTTTAATGCAACAATTGACTTTGTTAAAAATGAGGAAAATAAAGCAGCTATTGAAATGGCCAACCTCATGATATCGGTATTTACCGATTATCATCATCCAGTTGATGAACAACATAAACAACGTATTCGCGATATCGTGTCGGCTTTTACGCTAAAACCAAAATTTAGTACCGATCTGGCAAGTTTTCTCAAGAATGCAGTCAAATGGTCTGCAATTGAAGGTGCTCGTAAACGTGGAGATCCAGAGCTACAATTATTATTAGCACGAGCTTATCAAACCGCTGAGGAGTTTTCAAATGCTATGAAACACTTTTTACATGCTGAAAACCCACAAGAATTGGCTGAAATGTTGTTTCAGTGGTCAACGTTGGGATATCCCAGTGAATCGGACTTGTACCTTACTCGTGCTGTATTGCAGTAAGGATGTAGCTTGTTGCTGCAGTGTATAGAGATGATACTGATGTGTCGTCTTGATGTTATGCAGACTGCTCAGTCTGGAAAATCTTCGTGATGCCAATAAGGTTTACGATTCATATGTGACCAAGTGTAAAAGTGCTGGACGTCCGATTGACTTGCCACTGTTCAACTTTACACGTTTCATACTGTTGACGTTGGAGGTGAGAATGTGATGTAATCGCTATGCTGTATGCTAGTGACTGATTTTTGGTCACTTTTGACCATTTTCTTTTGCTAGCGTGATGCACTGCCTCTTTTTCAGATGCTCGAGGAACGGTACGCACCAGCACTAGCTCGTGATGCTAGTCTCAAGAGCGTACGTATTACATTGTTCTGGTTGTTGTAGAATGAGACGAAACGAGACTCATGTTTATCTTGTCGGGTTTTCTTTTTGCTTGCTTGGTGTAGTATCTAAGCATCATCGGTCAGAAGTTTTATGGACTTCAGCCTCCGCGATCGGGACTTAGCTCACTGCTTGACATGTTTTCGGGTGGCATGCAGTAATATCGTGAAACAACTTGCTAAGGTAGCAGAAACTTTGGCAGCAGCACGATGCTCTTGTTTTCTGCTGTTTTTTTGCATGAATGAAGAGTATGACTTGCTTTCCAGACTGTGAACGTGTGGTCGGTCGCTAGACTTTTTTCTGCTTGCTTTCAGTTCCATCACTTAACATTTGCCTCTACCTGCATGTTGCTGCTATTCTACTTTGTCGCCAGAAACGTTACTCTTCGTCCACGCCAAGCCAACACTATCTACGACAAAGCAAAAAACTATTTCTATTGAAATGTACTTTGACCATTCCCATCGCTCTTCGCCGCATTCATCGTCGCTTATGCCTTGTTCTTCTTCTGTTTCTTGGCTTTCTTCTTGTCCTGCTGTTGCGACTTCCGCTTGAGGTTTTCGACCATGGCGTTTAGCGTGCGGTTATCGTTATCATTTCTAGCAGTATCTGCATCCAACTTGATAGGTATGGCATGAGTAGCGTCCTGGTCATACCGTTGCCGCCGCTCCTTGAAAATAGCCTGGGTGGCCTCCGTCTTTTTGAACTTTGGGTCCGTCGGGTCCAGTTGAAATTGCGAGCCCTTAGTGTACAAAGCGCCAAAACGCGGATCGGCTGCGTCAAACTCGAACCCCTCCTGCAGACCACCACTTGCTCTTTGCTTCACCAACTTCTTCATCTCCTTGGCACGGCGCTTGCCCTTCAGAGACTTGACCTTTTCCTGCTTAGCAATTTTCTTCATGTCAAAGTTGCGCTCACCCTGGTCACTATCACTGCTACCACCATTGCTGCTATCGCCGCCAACGGTGATGGCCTCGCGCAGCAAGTTTGCCTCCTTGGCACCACGACCCTTCTTCTTTAGCACTTCGCGTTGCTCACGCTCGAGCTCTTTCTGTCGTGCACGTTTCTCGTGCAGTTTACGGTTTTTTTCCTGCTTCTTCTCACGTGTGTACCGCTCGAACGGCGTTTCATTAGCCTCAAGCTCCTTCTGTCGCTTTGCCTTCAGTACATCACCCGCACCAGGCGCGAACGACATCTCCATATCACCCTCATCACCAGCTCCATCTTCACCATCAGTGCTATCCGCCAAGCCTCCTTCAGGAGCATCGTTATCATCATCATCTTCTGCGTCGCTGCCTAGCAGCATCGACCGGTATCGGTTTCGAAGCTTTTTGATTTTGGCCTCCTTCTTGGACTTCTTTTTGCTGTCAGGAGCAGTGACGGCCGTGTTGCTATCGGCCTCTTTCTCTTCATCACTGTCGTCACTCCCATCCTCAGCTTCTGAAGCATCTGATACATCCGAAGCAAGGTATGCCTTGAAGTCATCGTCGTGGGCATCCTTCCAGTCAGTGGGACGCGTCAGCAGCTCCAAACGCTGGTCATCATCCTCCTCCCATGTAAGCTTCACATCCGTTTGCTGGAGTGCCAAAGTGGCAAAGATTGTCGGCTTGTACCGGTCAGGCACGCTGTCACACGACTCTTTGGGTGTGTTAGTGAAGGTTGTGTCGTCCGACACATAGCGGAGATCAAGAACGTTTGATGAGGTCTCGTACTCGAGCTGATCGCACTGGTCGAAGATCGTGCTAGCAGTCTTTACCGAATCGCACGTCACGATGGCATAGTAATATCGCAACTTTTGTAGTTCGTATTTCCGCAGCTTTTCACGGTCAAAGCCGTCCGACTCACTTTCTAGCGTTACACTCTTCTTCACGCCAAGAGGGTCATCCGAGTCGTAGTCATCCTTTTCTCCCTCGGCGCTGTCACCGTCCTCGTCATCATCAGCAGCTTTGTCCTCTTTGTCCGCTTCGTTGTCTTCATCCTTTGTTGAGACCTTCAGCTTTCCGTCTTTATTCTCAGCTTCCTCTTCATTCACTATTGGCTTGGCTTGATCATCCCAAAGACCCTGCGGCCCTCGCTGTCCCTCCTCTCTCTACAGCAAACCCACAAAATATTAGCAACTCCGACTCAATCCATCCAATCCATAGCATTCTCCACGTACTATTTTCTCAAGACCGTAGTCCGACGGATAAATAGTCACATCCTGTACGGTGCCCGTGGCCGGTGCAAACGACTGGCAGAGTGCAAACAAGTCCACAGCACGAATACGCGTCCAGTCGCAATTAAGTACAGCAAAACGTTTCGTCTCTTCACCCATAGGAATCTCTTCTTTCTCGTCTTTGATTACACCTTCGACCTCGTCATCATCACTGTCTTCCGAGTCCGAGTCGGAGCTGTCCAAGCCCGACTCAAGTTCACCCCGAGCCATACGATTGAGATAGTCAAGTCGCGAGAGTTTCTCATTGTTTTTTGCAACTGTTGCATCTGCATCATCATCGAAACTCGTCGTGGACGGAACTTTGATCATTGCCTTGTCTTCTCCATCGCCACCAATCTGCTGCTCTTTGTCTTCTTCTTTCAGACAATAAAACTTTTTCATTTCATTCTCCTTCTTTTGAATACGACGCCCATATTTGTCGTATTTTCCCTGTACACTTTGAAAACGATCATCCTGAAGCGCTCCAGCAAACCTTGGATCAATCTCAACTTTATTCTTACGCTTGGAATTTCGAGCAAATCTCTATACAACAACAACATTCAGCCACTGGATTTATAAATATATGTTCATTCCATTCATTTCAATTGACATACCGGATCATTATGCACTTTGTGAAAACGTTGGTCATGTACGGAATCACTCATAATGTCGAGTACGTACTTATTTGGCTGGTTGAGAATGGCGAGTTTAATTTCAACCAATGAGTAAAAGTCTCCGTTAATCGGTAGATTTCGTCATCTGAGTGTGATATACAGACCTCCCTCCAAATAGTTTCCCTCCGATAAGTTATAACCTCCAATAGGTTATCAAATTTCGTGTCCACCGAGCTCGTTCTTTGGTCGCTAAGTTATAAGTTATAACCAGGCAGGGCAATGTAACTCTGGGAGCCGCTTATGCCACAGACGTTAATACTACGGCCACAGACATTGATACTACGGCCACAGACAAAACTACTAGGCTACTAGGGCCACAGACAATAATCCCAGCCAATCACAGCTCAAAAATATCAATTAAATTCAATATACTAATGATTAGTGCTGGACGATATTAGAATCTCGATATTTTGTGGGCTCATCGCTTAGTTGCACATTTCAATCCTTACACATAAAGCAGCAGAGTAGCAAGCAATTTGTCACGCGGAAGATAATGCAAGAACATATGAATATGGAAGCCTCCGCAATTGGCATTGGAATCGACACCAAGTCCTCTTACAAACAACGAGATGGACGATCAGATAATTTTATTACAAGTGCGATCGTGGAGGCGTAGATCAAAACCGTCATGGACATGTCGAAGTTCAAAAGGCGAAAGACAGTACTGCCCTTTTAAAGGTGTTGGACGAGAATTGAAAGGTATGACTATGCATTCAATTTAGTTATATACCTACAAAGTTAGAGCTTTCACATTAAACAATCGTCTCCTCCTTTACGGACAACGCCTGGTCCATTATAATTACTCGCAACATCTTGCAGCAGTGAAACGTCACCCTGTCGAGATCCCTCATCAACGACAACCACCGTTCCAACATCCAAATATTTAATGTATGCTCTATACCATGCATAGATAGCAATTAAACGGTAAATAAAAGGGCAGTTATTACGTTATAATCATATTAACATGTTACTGCTGATTGGTTGTGTTGATTAGCATTCGTTTAAACGTGATAGCATCGCGAGAAATGCCATTCTTGCACGTTATGCTAAGAATTGGACTCGAATTCTCGTCCGCGACCAACAAAGACGTTGGATGTGTGGTGGATTGAATTATCAGACAGCGTAGGAGAACCACAAACATACACAGCGCCGGACTGCCGACTTACGGAGGGGGTACCCCGATACCATGTCGTATCAACCTTGGGCCTTACCTTGTGTACCCGCCGGCTAGGCTGGTGTTGCTCCTTGTTAGACGCAAAAGACTTATTGAATTGGTCCTTGTATAGAGGGACTTGGTGGTCCACGAGTACATATGCTTCACTCGGGACCAATTTTCTATTTCTCAATTTGCTGAGTCGAGAGCAATGCACCTGGTACTCTGTGCCCCTTTGGTGGCTTACGGTGTCTTGGTCTTTCGACCCCTTTTCTTTTTCCCCGTAAAGAGGCCGCTTCCTGAGGTGGTGCTACTCGGGACGAGCCCACAGGCCAAAATACTTCCTGGGGTTCGCTCGAACTTGAATCTTACCACATGACTGTATTCAACGGGAGGGCCAAAATATATTCCTTCCTTGGAACAGGTAGGTAGATCAAGTTCGCACTTGAGTATTGACACTTACTTGATGTAACGGGCTAAGGACTTGTTACCGTCTCACACTAAAAGGACGTTGAGGAAGCGCTCTTAATTCACTCGTAAATATAACTCTGTTTTATTTTGTTTTAGTTTTAATTCGCAGTAAGTGCGAATATGTTGGAACCACTTAATATGGAAGTCAATTTATTATTGGCTAATTATTGGGTCTGGCACCCCAATAATGAACCAATAATAAAATGACGCGCAGTATCCGCTAATCGGATACTGCCCTATGCCTCCTTATGTAATTATGTATTATCCCTATAACTACGTATGTAATAGGTTGCCCCATTACATCACCCCCCCCCTCTCTCTAAGTTGCAATTACCTCAACGTAAGCGCGAAACGCAGAAAGAATCTTCTCGACCAACGGCGTAACTCCGAACCTGCTCAGTTAGACTTAACTGAGCAGCATGGACCCTAGGCTTCCACAAAACAATGTCTCTGACAACCAGAACTGGGAAACCCAAGCGACAATCCGTAGAGAGCAGGCACCGCAGGTCATGGATGGGGAATTGAAACCGTGGCGCTTGTATGGTCTTGAAGGTGATGTCGAACTTGAGCAACTAAAGGTAATGAAAGACCTTTTCACGCGATACCGTACAGTGAGAGGCAAGGCGACAAACAACGCATATACCGACGATGCGTTGCAGAGATCTTGGTGTTCCTTCATCAGGCGCTGGAACGCGAGCCGACGTGAAGGAACGTCCTTCACGTCCTGGTTAGATGGTCGCGAGGGAACGCGTGATAGACACGCTATTGGCGACCTGCGCCGGCGCATCTGTCGCATGACTTGTGACGAGTATTAACTTTGTTACTTCCACGTTCGTGAGGGGCGTCCAACGTTCAACATGGGCAGATCGCGATCGGTCCTGCAGGAGTGGGACGACTTGGTGTGTACGCGAGGCATGCCCGATCATATTCGTCCAGGGATTGCCCGTTATGAGGGAAGCCTTTCAGAGATCCAGGTTTCCGAGCTACGGCGAGTGACAACGCGTCCTTACGATCGCCGAGGGCATTCAAGTAGCCGATGTCGTCAACCGTATCATCCATATGCTCCCGAGCCTCGTATAGGGCTCGGTCTCGGAGTCGCTCGGGGGATCGTCGTGGTTTCGTTGCTCGCGAGCATTACGGCTCGCGAGAATGGAGATGGAACCGGCAGCGTCGGTCGCGATCACCGTCTTTCTACGGGACTCATAGTCCTCGACCACGTCCGGGACATCTTGGGTCAGCGATCTCGATGTCTCCCATGTATCGTCCGCCGGCGAATATCTCAACCAGCGAAACTTGAAATGTTTCTCGACACGCTTCTTCATGGGGCCGAGTTATTACTCGGCGCCTGGGGCTTGTGATCCTCATGATCGACAATTCAGTCGAAAATCCAACGTCGTGCACCGGATGCATCAATTAAGGGCGGAGGAGCATCACGACGAAAAATCTCTGTCGATAAGCGCCGATTCTCGCAATCGGGCGCCTGAACAGTCGAATGAAGAGGTGCGCATACTTCGCGCTGAAGCCGAGGAGTCGAAGAATGCCCTACTTGATGTTCGCGAGATGGCTGAGAGAGCTCAAGATCGTGCGAATGCTGCTACTGAGGATGCTGAGCGGACTCGACGTGAGCAGCGGGTACTGTTAAGCGCCTACGTCAACTTGAGACGACTGCGTTCGGAGGACCCCAGCAGATCTAGTCTGCACGCGTTCGGACAGGACTTCATCCCAGTCGTCGTCAGCGTCGTCGTCAAGGGATGTCGAATTTTGAGCCGGCACAAAAGAGCGGGGAAGATCAAAGGGAGTGTGGCGAAGCGAAAGAGTGAATTTGGCAAAGTGTGATCGCATATTTTTGGTTAAGTCCGAAATGGTCAATATTGATGAATCGCAATCCAGCCGAAGAAGTTTTGAGACGTTGCAAATGGAATGGAAAACAGTGAATGGTGGAGCTCGCAGTTCTATGTCGAATTAAATATGGCCTAGAAACTACGCAACTGCGATCTCCGGTATTTTTCGATGGCGATCCGCGTGAACGCGATCGCTAAGAAGGAGGATTGGTACATCCAAGTATGTGGAAGACGGTCTGGTGTAGATCACATCACTATGGAAGACTGGAACGAGGTGGACATGACATGTCATATAGATGGACCATTTCACATGATCCGAGGAACGGTGAAAAGGACAAGTCGTGATCCGGCGGACCGCGATCCGATACTAATTATTAGTATCGCGATCCGATACTAATTATTAAGTACCGCGATCCGAGACTAAAATAAGTACCGCGATCCGATACTAACTATTAGTACCGCGATCGTGATACTAATTATTAGTATCACGATCTGATACTTATTACTAGTACCACGATCTGATACTAATATAAGTACTGCGATCCGATACTAATTATTAGCGATCCGATACAAAAATGGTATTAGATCCAATCGAGGTGGCGATCCAGATCGCGGCGATATTGGAGTGGACCACATTACAAGATCTGATTTTTCCGAAAGGGTGATACGTGGCAATAGATCCTGAGATACAGATAAGCAAGATCATAGGTTTTGGTATTTGATTGGCTAACATTAACAGAGTTCAATTTGCTTCTAAGTACACGTGTCGACTTCTCTATTCCAGGCAGGATATTTGACCTCCCGACGCCGAGAATATCGACTACAAGTGCACCCTGGATTGTTTTGGCCAGGTGAAGGAATTCTCAACACAACAACTCAACTGCGATCGGACGCAGAAATAACAAGTAAGGGCAAAGCAAGCAAGTGCAGGACGGATCAAGTGATCAGAAGGTTCTGCTCAAGTGGTCAGAAGATTCAAGCTTCGCCTTATTGGACGATTGGCATCTATTGGTACGATCAACAAACAAGTACTCGGTCGATCTTGTGAATATTTCCACAAGATCACCAAAACCCCCTATCCCTAACCCGTTTAGGATTAACATCGACTCAAGTCCACCGAGAAGAGAGCAACCCGCCCTAACGACGGGTACACAAGGTGAGAAGCGCTTTATATGCGGAATCGGGATACCCACTCCGTTAGTCGGTCTTCCAGGCGCCAGTGGAGTATCGGAGTCGCATCAGCAATTTTGCGAATCCCACTCCACCACAATCTGGTACTTCAGCGCGATCTGAAATTCAGGCGCGATCTGGTACTTTGGCGCGATCTGGTACTCGGGGATTGTACTTTAGGGATTGGATTTGGCGCGATTTGGTACTTTAGCGCGATCTGGTACTTTGGCGCGATCTGGTACTTTGGCGCGATCTGGTACTCGGCGCGATCTGAAATTCCGGCGCGATTTGGTATTCCGGCGCGATCTGGTACTTCAGCGCGATCTGGTACTTCGGCGCGATCTAATACTTCAACG